GAATATGTTTTCTGTAACTTATAATTTTATATTTATCTAAAAGGTGTTTTCTCTAATCTATTCCTGGTCTGAAAAACTCTACCACACTTTTCTTCTCTAAGTATAGTAATAGGACAAAAGCAAGATCATCTAAATTCCCGCTATAAATTGGCGGAAAGGTTAACTTTATTTTTACTGGCATAATGTAATTACAATAAAGATTTCTAGTCATTTATTTTATAATTTGAGGTACATTAAAACTATGAGGGATATATATTTAAAAGAATGAGATGGTTTTGGTATAGAAGGTGTCCCCTTACTTGAATCAAGGGACTAATCATATATTGATTGATGACAGCAATTCTGGGTAACTGATGATACTTTTGTTAGAAATCCTTTAAGAAGGAAAATGAGGTATGTGTATACTTCCGTATGTGTGTACTCGTGTTGAACATTTTTTCCTAGAGAGGAATCTCCCAAATAAACTTTCAAAGACAGTCAAAATTGGAAGTTTTAAAGTACAATTTTTAATGTTTAAATGGTCTTCCATATATGGAGGAAACTTCATGGAAAGACAACAGCTTTGGGGTTTGGGGGGGGTTGTTTGTTGTTTTCTTGTTTGTTTTAATTTTGGACCAGGGTTTCCTCTTTATTTTTTTAAAGTTTAACGTGTATTTTTATTTATTTATTTTTAATTTATTATTTATTTGGTTGTACCAGGTCTTAGTTGCGGCAGGCGGCTTGCCGGCTCAAGGTTTCCTCTTTTTTTTTTTTTTTTTTAACCTCTTATTATAGAAACCAAAACCACAACATGGAGGCAGTTGGAAGGTCAGATTCTTGCACATTCACTAATCAATGCTTCCCCTGCATCGGCAGGCGGACTCTCAACCACTGCGCCACCAGGGAAGCCCCAAGGTTTCCTCTTTTAATGGGAAAGATGTGAGGGGTGAGGCTGGATCAGTGGTCTTAAGTTGTATGTTTGGTAGTTAGTCCTCTGACTTGGAAAAGTATTAGAGTCATATCTTCAAAATGTCTACTAAAAGGAAGGCACATTTTGTCTCTTGACAAGGAAAGTACTGTTCCTGAGCTTCTCTTTGGCTCTTGGGTAAGGTTTTAGCTCGGGACTTCTCAGCTGATGGCAGCATCACATAATAAAGTTATGTCCCCAGGCTTTCCTGCTCCGCTGCTGGACACGTTTGCAGCTGCTCTGGGTGTTACCGTTTGTCACATCCTAGGTCACTTCTCTTAGAGTTGGAGGAGGAACCACAAGACATCACATTCTTTCTGGTGTTGTTCCTAAGTATTCACTTTGCTCCTGAGATAATTAGCTTCGTCTCTGAGGCAGCTGTGGACTTGAAGAATTTAATGCACACTGGAGCATAACAGGATACGTGGCTAGAGAATATCTTCCCAGATAAAATAAGGGAAACAGTTGACCTGGAAACTTACTTCTGGCCATACCTGTAGCCATAGTACTTCTATGGAAGAATCATAACTAGAAAAGGCCTGGAGAAGTCAAGTTTGATGTGTACATGGGCTGTAGTTTTCCCTTTAGTCAACCTATTTGTATTACCAAGTTTCTTTAAGGTCTGACCTAATCCCTCCTAGACTCTGAGCCTTTAGAGGTTTTAGCCTTCAGACTCTGACTCCTTTACTGCCTTATCTTTGGTCAGTTTTAGGGGAAGGCGGGAGATGGTCAAGTGGGAGTCTTGAGAGTCCTTGTGGGAGACAAGAGTAGAGTATGAGAGAAAGTTTGCTGTATGGATATAAATATGAGCTTCAGAAAATAAAATACCACAGAATCGTTTTGGCTCTTGGGAGTGAGGGTGACAGCACTGTAGGGCACATCAGTTAAGGGTGAAAAACAACCACAGAACGTGGTTTTGGAAGAAAAAGAAGAGTTAGCTGCCTCCTCTCACACTGTTCCCTGTAGTCTTGGGAATATAGTGGTCTGAGATTAGGGTAAACAAATGGTTTCTGTTTTTTCTTCACTGAACCTTTTTGCCTTTGCTTCCCTTCCAGTGTCAGCGAGTGATACCAGAGAAGGAAAAAAAAGAAGTGAACCCAACCTCATTTCCTCCTCCTCGTGGGCGATTGCTACAGCAGGGGAAGGTCTCACAGTATATCAGTTGGGGCAGAGAATGGAGGTGATTGGCAGTGGGGGCTGGGTTTTCTTCTGTCCATTTTCTGGGGTACAGCTATATTATGTACTTGCATGTTTTAAGAAACAGTCTTTTTTATGCTGATTTGAAATTTGGTTATAGTGTTGGGTGATAGCGTTGGCTTCTCAGTTGTCTTAACAGTTCGGGCTCCCCATTAAAATCACGGTATTGTAGCCTGGAGTTTAAGTGAAAGCTGAGGTTTCTCATCCTTAGTTGTTAGGTCTAGAACATGCACATAGCAGTGAGTGAGTTAGGCTGTTAGGTGGGTGCTGGCCAGATGGCAGCTCCCAGGCTTCCTAATTGTTGTAGCCTTTCCCACTCTCCCTGATAGGCTTAGGAAAGGCAGAAAGACCTGCCTCGGGCAGCTTTCTCGGTGGCACATGCTCAGAAAGGAAGCAAGGTTATCGGTTTGGTATGACAGCACTTGGTTTAGATGAAAGCTTAAGTCATAGGAGTCATATATGAGTGTCATCTTGAATTGAAGAAGGGGTTTTAACCCGACTGCAGTGGTGGCAGCCATGGCCACTGCCACCTGGTTGTGACAGAAGCCTAAACTTCCCATTGATCACATCAGCAATTTCTGATTTTCAGTTCTGTGGCCGAGGCTTCCTAGAAGCTTAAACCTTTGTCCCAATGACGTCAAGTTCGCCCGTTGGCTTGGAAGGTTCAGATTTGTCTTCCATCAACACCATGATGTCAGCAGTGATGAGCGTAGGGAAGGTTGCCGAGAATGGTGGGAGCCCCCAGAGCATCAGGTCCCCCACGAAGCCTCCGGGACCAAATCGGATTGGCCGAAGGAACCAGGTAAGCGTTAGTGTGCCCGGCTGTGGCGTCCATGAGAGTGTTGGGAGAAGGATGTCCCCTTGAGCCCCAGCTTCCTAAGCCAGAAACTCAGATGTGGTCAGAACTGAATGGATATACCCAGAGGCCATAATCGTTTTTCAAGAGCTAACTTCTCATAGCTTATGTCAGTTTCCCTTCGTAGAGAAAATTTTCCATGCTGTGGTGTCAGTATTGGTGAAAGCGCCCTTATTCCCTGCCGTGTGATTTGATTTGAACGCGAGCTTTCTCCACGGGACAGGCGAGGCAGAGAACTCGGCTTATTCCTCTCCTGTGGCATGATTTGTTTCCTCGTTCAAGCAGCTGGTTAATTGGGTTTCTGATGCCACCTCCTTGATTTTTTTTTTAAGTGTCTCCAGATTAGGTAGTGATGAGTCCTGGCTGTGCTGGAGCTGCTCTTCAGCTTCCATCCTTGACAAAGCACACAATGGGGCTCCCTAGAATTCCACTCAAGATGCCATTTATTCCTCTTGAATTTTCAGAGATCAGGAGGGGTGGAGAAGAGGACATGGGAGGGCAGGGATGTTATGAAAGGCCGTGTCTCCTCCCTTGGGAAATAAGATGAGTCTTTTAGTTAATGTACAAACGGGGCACTTGAGAAGCTGTTGCTGTCCTGCAGCGGCATGCTCGACGGTGCATGAAGCTCAAGGAGTGAGGTGAGCCATTCCCCTTTCCACCCTGCGTCCACGTGATGTGAACGTTCCATGTTTGGCTTCACTGATTTAATGGGGTCCCACCAAACCCTCGGGAGAAGGCAGTCTTCTGAGTTTGTCCAGGGACTGGGGGTGGACAGGAAGGTAAGCCTGTTGGGCTTTTGTGGGTTAATTTTCTTTTTTTATTAACAATCCCACAGTGACTGTCCTTATGCAGAATTGTCTGAGCATAGTGTGATGGTTTTCTATAAATTTGTAGACGTACAACATGAATTACAGCTTTTGATACCATGTGCCCTCCAGGAAAAGCTGTCCCTGCCTAAAATCCCTCCAGCAGCACAGGAGTGTCTATTTCTCCACCTCTTTCTCAAGGCTGAAGACTTGGCAGAGTTAAATGACGCTTCAGGGTTGGGGCATTGATACTTTTTCTCTCTTTTTTCCCTTGTCTCCGCGTGCCTCTCTTCCTATGGGTACCTGAGAAAATTCTCAGCCTGTTTGACTGTGGCCTGAGCCGAGAAGGAGTGCTAGCTCTGGGAAGAAAAGGTTTATTTCCACTCTCATGTGACTGTCCATCCATCCATCTATCTGTCCATCCCTCCATCCATCCCCCTATTTCACAATATACACCCCCCTCCTTCCAACCAGGTACTGCGCCAGGTGCCGAGCTCTTCCTTAGAGCCCAGCATCACCCCAACACAGGCAGACCTGGCCCAAGTCCAGGCTCTGGTCCCTTCCCAGTGATTCAGAGACAGTAGGTAGAGCCGTAGAGGGGGCCCACGGCACCTCCATCCCTGCATGGTAAGTGGAGCAGACTCCACAGGGGTGCCTGGGCCATTTTCCACCCACTTCCCATGTCCTCTGGGGTTCCTTAGGGCACTGGCTGAGTTTCTGAAAGGAGGTCTGGGCTAGAGGTAGGATGGGAAAGACAGTGCATTAAGAAAAGCAAGCGCAGTGCGGGAGAGAGAGTGCAGAGTGCATCGTCCTTACCTAGGACAGACAGGAGGGCTGAGAGGGAGCCCTGGGGAGAAGCCCAGCAGCTAGCAGAGTTCCAGGGCAGATTAACCACAGCCGGAAGCCAACAAGGGTGCCAGATAGTTTCATTATGGAATGGTTAGTTATCACATTAGCTGCTAATTTTGTCTGTCAGCTCAGGAAGCGTGCTCCTTCCACCAGCACGGCCACAGCCACTGGATTCAGCACTCTCCAGTAGGTCCTCTTCCAGCATCACGATGCTCCCTTCTCTGTTTGATTTGTCTTTAAAAATTAAATCTGAGTCTGGAGACTTCCTTCTCCCGGACCATCGTGGATGTCCTGGACCTGTGCTATGGTCTGCAGCGTGCCGCTGCCCGCCTCTGAGAATGGTGAGGCTCCAGTTAACCATAAACCCAGAATCAATCCCATTAGCCCCAGGGGCCACTCAGCGTGTCTGGAATCTGTCTCAGGGGAACGCAAGATGATTTTTTTAAAAAGAATTTAAAAATCCTCAAGAGGCTGGCTACTTGGAGGCCTGACTTTTTAACATGTATTTCCATCCTACCGATGAATCTCTTTTTTTAAAAAAAACAAAACAAAACACTTTTTAATATATATTATCACTAACCTAATAATTTAACAAAAATACCCCGAAGACCGAGTTTGGGCCCAGCTGTGAGGCATCCCTCATTTTTATACGAGTGCTCTCACTTTGTCGTTACTACTTTGGGTTTTGGTTTTTCTGCCTGGTGGTTCTTGGCCAGCTCCTTTCTGACTGTCGTAGAGTGGGGATGAGAAGGTCTGACACCCTCCTCCCCGCAGACACACACGTTGCCTCGGGGAGGAGTGGAAGTGGGTGATGACTGGGCGAGGGTGCAGGGTTTTTTTGTGTTTTGTTTTTTAAATTGTCTCTGGGTTAATCACCTTCCTTAGAATTCATATCTGTGATTTTTTTTTTAAATTTGAGAGTGAAAAAATGTGCAGCATACCTGTTTCTCAGACCCAAGGTCACAGACTGGGAGCAGGTGTATATTGCTTAAAATGAGGCTTGTTAGTCTCTGAAGAGTGAGAGGGACCCACTGTAGGAGCCGCGTACTAGACCCCATCATGCGTTCACTCCACCCCGTCTGGTGCCATTTGTTTTTATGGTCTTCAGGGTGACTTTTATTTTCGTCATCTCTCATGAGCCAACCACAAGGGTGTTTCCTTTCTGTGCCTTGGGCTTAATCCTTTTTGGGTCAGACTTACACAGCCTAGCGGTTTAGGGCATGCGCTGTGGAGCAGCTGGCCTGAGTTTTAATCCTGGCTCTGCTGCTTAATAGTTCTTTGATTTGGGGGCAGGTTACTTGCCTCTCTGTACCCGTTTCCTCATCCCGAAAATGGGATCCATAATAGTGGCTGTTTCTCACGGTTGTGTGAAAAAACACTATTCTGTATGTGCAGAGTTTAGCACATAGTAAGTGTTCAATAATTGGTGTTATTTCAGGGAACAGAAATGCATTCAAATGAGTACAAGTGAAAAGAGGTCTATTGAAAGATGCCCGAGGGTCCAGCCCTCCCTCCTGTCACCTCCCAGCGACTGCACCCTCCCTCACTCTTTTTTATTATTTATAAGCAGTGGTAAGCAGGTGCTCGCAGCGAGTAAAAGGATCCCGTTGATGTCCGATGGGCACACTGGTGGGTACTGGGGCCTTCCACCCTCGGGAGGGTGGGTTTTTTTTTTTTTTTTTTTTAAGTAAACTTTGAGGAAAGGTGGCAAACCAGGCATTACATCTGGCTTTAGGGAACTAGAGAATGGCCATGACTGTGCCCTGAAGCCTGTATCTAGCCTTGCTTAAAAAAAAAAAAAAAGAGCCTGGATAACATCAAAATGCAGAAGGCCTTAAACAGTGGAATACTAAAGGAAACCTGGGGGCACGAACCCGCGCCTCCCGCATCGGCAGGCGGACTCCCAAGCACTGCGCCACCAGGGAAGCCCGGGAGGGTGGGTTTTTGACGTGAGAACTCCGTTCCCTCTTGTGTGTCTTGGTGGACTCAAGACCAGGTAGAAACTAGTGACTGGAGCTTGGGTCAGAATTGAGGAGAAATACATCCCTTTTCTAGCTCAGCTGTGACTTGATGCTTAATTTTTCGCCATCGCTGGTGATTAACTAAATGGTGTCTAACAAGAACACTAGTATTTATTGAGCACTTAGCCTGTACGGGGCACCGTTCTGGTGCCTTCTATGTGCTGGTTGATTTAATCCTCATCACCACGTGATGCAGTAGATGCTATTATTTTCCCCATTTTACAAATGAGGAAACAGGGCAGACGGGACGGCCACTCTCCCAAGCTCATACCCAGCCAGGCTCCAGGGACTATGCTCTCAGCCGCTCTGTTGCTACAGCTCGTCAGACACAGTTGTTTATAACACAGCTGAGAGGCACTAGTTCACTGGGAGCTGAAATGGATTCTCCCTTTTATTCTCTTTTCAGGAAACAAAAGAGGAGAAGTCTTCCTATAACTGTCCCCTGTGTGAGAAGATTTGCACTACACAGCATCAGTTAACTATGCACATTCGCCAGGTTTGCTGCTGCTTTCGTATTTTCTTTGTTAAAAGAGGGGATGGGATTTTATCTTAACAAATGAATTGTGGCTGTTTAATTTAGATCTAATATTCTTAATTTTGAGGGGCAGTTATGAAATAATTTTTGTGTGTCCGTGTTATTGTGACAAAGTCCCAGGTCAACACAGAATATCTTTTTGGAATTTAGCAAACAACTAATTAACTAACCACATATAACAGAAGACTTTTCATCACCTGTGACTTGCCATTGTGAACCAAATCTCCTCACAGTACAGTGAGATTATAGATGTAGACCCTAATTCTATATATTGCTATAAACTTACATCATGTAGCAGGGAATTTCCTTGATTTGGGATCTCTTTTGGCTTTTTTCTTCTTTACTGTAAGGTTTATCCTTCTCCCTTGCCTGCTGTGGCTGGTTCATGACAAGTATTGAATCTAGAACAGTGAAGGACTGACAGTATTCAAATCGTAACATGGTGCTGAGTAGTAACATCGTTTAGTAACTTGGGTTTGATAGAACACAATATTTATTTGCCTGTGGTCTCAATAGATTTTGATGTTCGGGGCGATATTTTAAATGAAAAAGAAAAAAATTGCTGAGAAGTGTTAGTTTTTTAAAATAAAGCTCTGAATGTGCATTTCATAATCACCTTGTTTTGACCCGTCTCCCTAAGTGACCACTGCGATCATTGCTTTCTGCAGCACAACACAGACACTGGAGGGGCCGACCATTCATGCAGCATTTGCGGGAAGTCGCTGAGCTCGGCCAGCTCCCTGGACCGCCACATGCTGGTGCACTCTGGGGAGAGGCCTTACAAGTGCGCTGTGTGTGGCCAGTCTTTTACCACCAATGGGAACATGCACAGGTGAGTGAGGGCAGCCTCTGCCTGCTGGCTAGAGCCTGGAGGTTGACGGAAAGCAAAGTGGCCTTCCATCTATCTTACCTAAAGGCACAAGGAGTTCTGTTCACTGTATGGAAAAGCCAGAGATGGTTTTGTTTGCCTGCCGTGTACAGTCTCCAGTGTGTCAGAGGTGTCTGCTCAAGGAAACAGAAGTACCTGGGCTAGGTCTTTGGCCGATGGGGGAATCTTCAGGGTGACCCTTTACCAATTGGAGTTTCTTTGCTTAGGTGCCAGAGGTGGGCAGCTTATCAGACACAGAGGAACCCTAGAGGATTAGCAGAGTAACCCTTGCCTTTTTAAAACTATTTGCATATGCCTACCAGATACCCTGCAGGGCGAAAAATTTCTGGAGCAGTTGAATAAATAGTTAAGTGGGCTCGTCCTAGAGCTTCAGGATAAGATAGGATAAAATGAGAAAGAAAATCTGATAAATGTCAGGAATCTACTTCCTGAGGGAGAAAGAAGCTCACTCAGAAGTGGGAGGGAGCTCAGTCGTGGGTATATTAAAATGTGGGAGGAACCAATGGAAAATGCACTTTACAGAACAATTACTTAATTTTAAGGGTTAGAACAGACTTTTTTTTAATGCTTTCTTTTTTTACACACACGTTTAGGAACATTGGAAATCCAGGAAAACGTTTTAAAGGGACTCAGAATTTCACCTTCTCAAAAAATCAGGCTGTTTTTATTTTTCCATATTCCCTTTTAGGCGTTATGTTGATTTCTTTTAAAGAGTTGACTAACATTGTTTTTTACATATTTATTCAAAAGAAGAGTTTATATAGTTGTGAAATGGATATTTTATCATATATAAATACTCAAACGAGATGGTCCAGTTTATTCCAACTAAAATCATTTTATGATCCACTTTTGGTGTACTTGGGACATACTAGTATAGTGGTAAATTTCTGGATTTTTGGAATTAGGCTGCTGATTTCAAATCTCAGCTCTGCTACTTGTAAATTTTCCATCCCTGAGCAAGTTGCATAACCTTGGTACCTCACTTTCCTTCTCTTTAAAATGAGATTTTTAATGAGGATTTGGAGATAATGAGTTTAGCCCATGGCAGGCACTCAACCAGTGAGTGCTATTTATTATTTTTATTTGCATTTCTGAGTAATGCTGCAATAATTTGAATCCTATGGAGTTCTCAGTCTGAATTCCTAGGAGTAGGGTAGAGTATGACATGAAAGGTATCACTATTTTAAAGAATTTTGATGAAGTAGGTTTTTTGTTCTCCATATAAGTTCCAATCCCCTTTGCCCCTCATCTCCTCCTAGGAGTGCTTTTGGGTACAAAGGAGGAAGTGAATACTGTCATCATTTTTTAATATATTTTACATTTTAGCTTTTTACTTTTTTACCTCCACATCAGCCTGTTAGTATCATTTTGCCTTCTGTTTGCCATTCGTTTTGTTTCGCCTTCTCCTTTTATCCCACCTGCAAAAAAAAAAAAAAGTCCTCTGTCACTTGTGTATTTGACCCCTCAAAATCTGGTCCTAGAGGTATTGCCTGTTCCCTTCTTGGGGGGTTTCCCCGCTTTCTCCTACCCAATTTTAGAACATGTTCATTACCCCAAAAAGAAACCCCATACCCATTATCAGTCACTTCTCATTACTACCCACCCTCCAGGCCTAGGAGAACACTCATCTACTTTCCCTCTGTTGATTCACCTATTCTGGACTTTTCATATAGCATGCGGTCTTTTGTGACCAGCTTCTTTCACTTAGCATTAATGTTTTCAAGATTCATCTATGTTGTAGCATGTATCAGCATTTTATTATTTTTTATTGTCATATAACAGTCCATTGTATGGACATACCACATTTTATTCACCTCTTCATCAATTGGTGGACATTGAGTCATTTTCACTTTTTGGCTACTCTGTATAATGCTGTTGTGAACATTGTTGTACAAGTTTTGTGTGGACATGTGTTTCCACTTCTCTTGGGTAGATACTTAGGAGGGGAATTGCTGAGTCGTGTAGTAACTCCATGTTTTAACATTTTGAGGAACAGCAAAGCTGTTTTCCAGAGCAGCTCCATCATTTTACACTCCCACCAGCAGTGTGTGACGGTTGCAGCTTTACACATCCTTGCCGACACTTGTCTTTTTCATCACAGCCACCCCAGTAGGTGTGAAGTGAAATCCCCATGCGTTCATAATTTTAGTTTTCACATTTAAGTCTACAATTCATTTTAAGTTGATATTTGTGTATAATATAAGGAAGGAGTCCAAGTTCAGTCTTTTGAACTATTTAAAAACTTTTCTTTCCTCATTGAATTATCTTACCAGCTTTATCAAATTTCAGTTAACCATAAATGTAAGGATTTATTTCTGTACTCTCAGAATTGAGAATTCTGTTCCATTGATAGGTATGTCTATCCTGAGGCCTAACACTGTATTGATTACTGTAGCTTTTGGTAAGTTTTGAAATCGGGAGGTGTGACTCTTCAAACTTAGATCTTTTCCTAGATTGTTTTGGCTATTCTGTGTTGCTTGCATTTCTGTGTGAATTTTAGGGTCAGCTTATCAGTTTCTGCAGAAAAAAGCAGCTGGGAAGATTATAGGGATTGCAAAATGTGTAGGTCAGTTTGGGGGCATCTCCATCTAACAATATTAAATCTTTGAGCACGGGATATTGTCTATTTATTTAAGTCTTGATAGATTTCTTTCCACTATGTTTTATCGCTTTTAAGAGTACAAGTTTTATATTTATTTATAAATATATTTATTTATATTTATTTTAAATTTTTTCCAAAGTGTTTTATTCTTTTTAGTGGTATTGTAAATGGAATTGTTTTCTAATTTTGTTTTTTGACTGTTAGTTGCTAATGTATAAAAATAACAATTCAAATTTTATATTGGTTTTGTTTCCTGCAACCCTTCTGATCTTGTTTATTCATTCTAATAGTTATTTGGTGGGATTCCTTAGGATTTTCTATATCTAAGATCATGTCATCTGCAAGTAGAGAGAGTTTTCCTTCTTCCTTTGAAAGCTTTTATTTATTTTTCTTGCCTGCTAGCCCGGGCTAGACCCTCCAGTGTGATGTTCAATAGAAGTGAAAAGAATGGACATCCTTGTCTTATTGCTGATCTTATGGAGGAAAGATTTAGTCTTTTCCCATTAAGTATGCTGTTAGTTGTAGGTTTTTCATAAATGCCCTTTATCAGTTTGAAGAAGTTCCTTTCTGTTCCTAGTTTTTGCTTTTTGGTGTTTTTATCATGAAAAGGGGATAAATTTTGTCAAAGGCTTCTTCTACATCTATCAAGATGGTCAAGTTGTTTTTGTCCTTTATTCCATTTTGGATGTGAAATTAACCTTATTCCTGAGATAAATCCCACTTGGGCACAATGTATAGTCATTATGTCATATGTTGATAGATTGGGTTTGCTAGTGTTTTGTTAAAGATTTTTGCCTATATTTATAGGCAAAGAGATATTGGTCTGTAGTTTTCTCGTGATGTCCTTTGCTGGTTTTTATATCAGGGTAATATTAGCCTCAGAGAGTGAATTTGGAAATATTCTCTCCTCCTCTGTTTTTTTGGAAGAGTTCGTGAAGAGTTGGTATCAATTCTTTTTAATTCAATATGTGGTTAGAATTCATCAGTGAAGCCATCTGGGCTTTTGTTTCTGAGAAGTTTTTAAATTACTAATTCAGTCTCTTTACTTGTGATAGGTCTGTTCACATTTTCTGTTTCTTCTTGAGTCAGTTTCAGTAGTTAATGTCTTTTCCAAAAATTTAGCCATTTTGTCTAAGTTATCTAATTGGTTGCCATACAGTTGTTCATAGTGTCCCCTTACAATCCTCTCTATTCTGTAAGGTCAATAGTAATGTCTCCTCTTTCATTCCTGATTTTAATAATTTGAGCCTTCTCAATTTTTTTCCTTAGTCAATCCAGCTGAACATTTGACGATTTTCTTGGTCTTTTCAAAGAACTTTTGATTTTGTTGATTTTTCCTCTGTTGCTTTTCTGTTCTCTGCTTCGTTAATTTTCCACTCTCTAAATATGATTGTTTCCCTCCTGCTTGCTTTAGGTTAGCTTGCTCTCCTCTTTCTGGTGTTTTAAGGTAGAAGGTTAGACTATTTATGGGAGAATTTTTTTTAGTAGAGGCACTTACAGCTATAAATTTCCCTTTAAGCATTGCTTTCATCACATCCTATCAATATTTGTATGTTGTGTCTTCTTTTTCATTCATCTCAAAGTATTTTCTAATTTCCCTGTGATCTCTTCTTTGGTTATTTAGGAGTGTGTTCAATTTCCACATATTTACTTCTCAAATTTATTTCTATTATTAATGTCTAATTTCATTCCATTGTAGTTGGGGAACATACTTTCTGTGATTTCAATTTTTTTTTAATTTATTGAGGCTGGTTTTATGGCCTAGCATATGGTCTGTCCTGGAGAACATCCCACGTCTGTTTGAGGAGAGCATGTATTCTGCTGTTGCTGGGTGGAGTGTTTTCTCGATGTAATGTCAGTTCCAGCTGGTTTATACCCTGTTTTAAGTCTTCTGTTTCCTCATTGATTTTCATTTATCTTTATGTGCTCTACATGTAAGGTTTGTACAGTTATCATCCCATTTTGCAGATAAGGAAACTTGCTTAAGATCAAAGTCAGTGCCAAGGTTTGAACATAGGCTGTCAGGCTTAGAGGCCATGAGGAATAATTGATAACAGCTTTCGTGTGACTTTGCGTATTAGAAAAAACGCACTCTTTCAAGCTTTACCCTCTTTAGGAATAATTTCATGTTGTTGTAGAGTATTATTTTCAATGTCAAACTATTTGAGCCATCCTACTAGCATAGTACACTCTATTTCATGAGCATGGAGTCGCTTTTTATTGATTTTTTTAAAGTGTGTTGTTTGTGAATTATGTTGAATTTTTTATAGCCCAACCCTTGATATTACCCTAAGATGCATTTCTCATTTATGCACAATGCGTATTGGAGTTGTTTGTAAAT